TTAATTTTAATAAATTTTAAAGCCATCATATGTAAAAACCAGAGTTTATAGACTTTTCATTTTATTATTAAAACCAGACTGGTATGGAAACCATACAACAGACCCGTATTAAAAAATAAATCTAACAAGTGCAAAACATAAAACATTTTCACATGACACATAAGTGAATTCCCAACAATTTTTTTTAAGAAAGTGAATAACTTGTTTCGTTTTAACGTACATAAGTGAGTTATGCTCAGAAAATGATATTTCAGATGATAAAACCAATCTCAAATCTTCAAAATATACATTACGTTATTTAACTTATATTTAACGATATTTAAAGGGTTTCTAAGTATTATTTTTCAATTATTAATTGGTTCGTGATAAATTATATAACAAACCAACGAAAATTACAAAAAACTTTATAAACTATATTATCGATTGACATAGTAATATAAAATTTATAATTCATTAGTTAAGGAATTTAATAATGACAGAGAATTAAAAAAGATTCCAAATTAAATTTTCTTGAAAAATATTAAAATGAAAATATTATTCATAACGCTTACATTTTCGCTTTATTTGAAATTTAAACGCATAAATGCTTATTCAATTTAAAAATACAAATCAACTTTATTTTTATTTAACATTAAGTTGTCACCTGTATATATGAAAATTGAAATTATTTTTAATAAAACAAATGTATTTGCATTGATTATTAATCTCTATAAAATACTTGTACTCAATTCAGCATGAAAAATAAAATCTTTATAGTAAAAAAATTAAAGTAATTGTTGAATTCATTATGTACTTAAATCTATATTTTAAATTTGTGGTTTTATTTATTAGTGTTAAATTTATAAGTGCTTCTAATAATGTTGATCAGTTAAACGCCCTGATTCAGCATGAAGGATGGAAATTCCATCAAGGGCTAAAATATCCAAAATGTGATAGACCTGATGACATTGACATCGTTGAGTTATTCTCGAGTACTATCACAGAAGAAAATTTGAATAATAAATTACGGCAATTTCATTTTTTACTTAGTAGTCGCTATGCAGTATTACTATTAGAAATTTATTTTTATTTAAATGATATTTGGAAAATTCACGAAGAAAACAAAAAAGAAATAGATTCAGAATACTTAAAAACCGAATTTTTTAACGCGCTCTTAGAAAACAAAAAAGAAGTTTATTTAGAATACTTTAAAACCGAATTCTTTAATGCGCTTTTAGAATGCAAACAAGTATTGTTAGATATGCAAAAATCTTTGTACTATTTCAAAGAATTAAAAACTCCCAACCAATCGTCTTTGTATAAAACTGATTTTACAAAAAATGGTGTCCAAGAAACTATTTCAATTATTCTGAGGTTAATAGAAAATAAGAATCACAGTATCAGCTGCATCAACAATGAACTAGACATTGCATACGAATTATTAAACGAATTTCTTAAGAAAAATTTTAAACTTATACCGCCAACATATAATGAAAGAAAAATTGAAAATACCAAATCATTACTTGATGTTTTACACAAAAATACTAAAAGTATCCTATCTAAAATTCAAAAAATTAAAATTATGATTATAACAACTGTTAACTGTATAAAAACCATAATAATTACATATGGATTTAAACTTGAATATAACGATCCTATTGATTCCTTTGAAGATTTAGAAGGTTAAAATTATTTTATAAGAAAAAAATAACTATAATTTTATAAGTAAGAATTCTCCATTATATACCATGAAAAAAATGTTTTATAAGTATTTAAAAATATAAATTTAAAATCTGATTATTTTTAGAATCTAATACTAAGTCGTATATATACATTTAATTCGATATATTCGTTTTATGATTAAAAACTATAAATCAGAAGTAAACTATCAAAATTTCTGTTTTTTTTTTTAATGAAATTTGTGATTGTTACCCTATGAAATACAGAAGTTGTCCAATTTGTTTAAATAAAATATGCTTTTTTTTATGTTGAAAGAACCCGTTCTAATGATTTCAAGAAAATAAATGAATATGTTAACTTATTTAATACAAGTTTTTAATTACTTAAAAATTAATAAATATATTTAATTAATTAAATATAATATAATTATAATTATTATTATTATTATTATAGTACAAAATAATTTATTAGTTGATATAAAAATTATAATCAATAAAAACTGTTATCAAAAAATAATTAAACTC